TTGTTTTCTATTTTATATATTAGGTGTTTGCATGTATTTTGATCGGTGAAATCTATTGGTGGAAACGATAAAGTAAAGAAACCAATTCTGGAACGTTCAAAATTGATTTTCAATATCCATTGGTTTTGTTATGGGATTTGAAGGAATCTGCTACCGAAGCCCATTAAACATCTTCAGAAACTTATAGGGACTCGGCTGGTCCATAATGTCACAATTGTCGGTTTTGGTTTCAGTGGTTTAAGAGTCGAGAATTTGACGTCAATAACAAAGAAGGGCCTAGAGGACCAAAAAAGTTCGATGACAATGAATTGCAAGATTTATTGGTCGAAAATCCAGTTCAAAATCTCAAAGACTTTTTGAACAACTTAACAGTAAATGAATCAATTGTTTCTAGACGTTTACATGCGACGGGAAAGACCCAAAAAAAAAGGGATTAACTGAAAATGACAAGTCGAACCGCTTCACCATGGCTTCACCGCTTCACCGGATTGTGACTGGCGATGAAAAGTGAGTCCACCACGACAATCCCAAGCGCAAAAAGTCATAATTAGGTCCACGAAAGTCATCCACTTCGACTCTGCAGCGGAATATTCATGGCTATAAAGTTTCGCTGATATCGATAAGATATAGTGTATCACGACCTACTAAAACCGCGTGAAACTGTTACTGCAAATGTGCACCGAAGTCAATCGAACCAATTGAACGATGTATTGTTGCAAAAACGACTAGCAATACCGCTTAACAGACGCTAAGTCCATCCGCTTGCATGACAACGTTCGAGCACACGTTGCAAGATCGGTTAAGAATGCACTCGAATAAGAAGTTTTGCCGCGCCCGGCGTATTCACCAGATAAAGCGTCTGGTGATTACCACTATTGCAGATTAATGCAGGATGGCTTGGTTGGAATGGGTTTTCGAGATGTTGAAGCAGTGCGAAAATAAATCGATGATTGAAGCGCTGCTCAACCAATATCGTTTTTTCGACGCGGTCTCGCCTTGTTGCTGGAAAGATGTGGACAAATTTTAGAAAATAATGGAATAGATTTTTATTAATGGATATTGGAGCAATTGTTCTTAATAAATGACTTTTTCAAGTCAATATCAAGAAAAAATGATCAAATTACATGCAATAATCTATTATTCCTTATAAGTTTCCTTGTTTGTCCAGCAAAATATTGAATAATATTTTGGAATAAATTTTGTTAACGTAATTGTGTTATTAAAGTCATGAAGTATTCAGATGAAAATGTTATAATTGGTTGATGTCATAATTTGTCTAAAATAGAAACTAGTGTCTTCTCAATGCGAATATACTTGGGCGTTTTGCTTGTATGTGTTACCATTTTCAAGATGTATTAATATGAGTTTTGTAACATCAACATTAATTAAACTTTGTAGGCGTAAATGTGCAAAGCATACAAACACTCTTTCTGCTACGACTTAATTAACAAGAACGTGTATGCATACGCAATTATTTTATACGTTTCATATTATAAAAGATAATAAGATATCAGAATTAAAGCTAAGGTCTTTTGCAAATATATTAATTATGTTCTCTAAGTCAAAGTTGCACATTTGACCTGATTCAATGCGTATATGCGAGATATATATATATATATATAGATGTGTATGTGAAAGGCTAAGTAGAAGTAGTATTTATACACTTGCCCACTCACCGCCGTCACCTACACCTAGATAAAAAAATTTCATGGTTAATTTTTATGTTTTGTATTTTTATATACAAAAAAAAAAAAAAAAAAAAATTCTTTATGAAAAATTATATATAAATGTATGTTTATATGTATGCATATATAATATAAATATATGTGTGTGTGCTATATGCTGGATTTCCGTGCAAGCAAAGGTAGCTTGACTTACATGTACATGCAATATTTAGCAGTGGCCTTGTTATGCATTTCATGATTATATAGATGAATGTAGATGTGTGCAAGAGTTATATATCAATTGCATTTTGTAGATCGTACCAGTAGCAGCAACAATTTCAACAACGCCAGCCAACGCATGGAATTTAATACCGATGCCGATATATACTATTATCAGGAATTTTTGAATTTTTTGATTTTTTTTTTGGTATCGATTACTTAAAAGCTTCCTTTATTATTTGTTCATTTTCTCTTTTTTTTTTTTTTTTTTTTTTGGTTTAAGATTTAACCTTAAATATACATTTTGATGTGAAAGGAATTTTAAAATTAAAAATTTTCGACTTCTTAAAAGGAAAAGTTCAATTATACTCAGAACGAAAGGAAGTTTCCTCGTCGTTATAGGTAAGGCCAACACACAATAACAACAACAATAACAACAACAACGGCAACAACAACGAAACGAACCAAAAGACAAATTAAAATGTTATACAAGAATGAAGCGACTATTAAATGCCTTGGTACAATTTGTGTCACATTCTTATCAAATATTATCTGTTGTCTCTAAAGCCCTACATTTTGTGGGAGACGGCTCGAAATTTTACTCGATTTGGTTTTAAATAAACTTTTTTCTTTTTTCCTGAGGTTATGTTGTCATACGAGAGTGGTCTTCTCGTAAAAGTTCTTATATGGAAATATCGTGTGCAAAATATAACTACATCCTGGTGCTAATTTACTACACTGTCACTGTGCTTGTCAAGTCTCTACTCTTAACAAGTTTTCATCATAAAATATTAATTTCCAAATCTTCTTTCCATTCCATTGCCATCTTGAGTGAAAGTTCAAGCGAGGAATTGTCCCGCTTCCATTCAAGTTTTCCATGTTTACTTAATACAATAAAATATTAATTTTTCTTAATTTTCAATTTAGAAATATTGAAATTTACAAATTATTTGCTTATAATAATAAATTTTTCAAAATGTGCCGCTTTATAGAGAACTGTCGTTGGAAGAATGCGATTCAATTCATTTCATTTTCCGAAAGCTTTGAGCCATTGATTATTTATTCGAAATCGATTTGCTTAAGGGAAAGTGAATTTATCTCGAATATTTCTGAGCGTGTGGCATACATCCTCACAAATTTCAGTTATGTGAGTGAGGTATAATTAGACAATTCTTACGTTTCTTTTTCTTATTATTATTATTATTATTTTTTTTATGTGAATTTTACAAAAACAACTTCACTTCATTAATAATTTTTTTTTTTTTTTTTTTTTAATTTAAAAAGCAAAAGGTAAACATACCTAATGTCAAATTTCAATTGCAGTAAAATGTTTTTATTTGCTTTAGTTGTTTTAAATTTCATTTTTTCATACTTGTGTGTATAACATTGTATTAGTGCACGGTTGGTAACCTTAGATTTTCTTTATAAGTAATAAATGAGTGCTCTAATACCATCCAATCGAAAGAAAAACAATTTAACAACAAAACGAGTCAAGTTCATTAAGAAAATAAAGTAAACGCTTGACTACTACGTGATTTGTTAATAGGTTTAAAAAAAACGTTCGGACGGGTTATTATTATTATTATTATTATTTTTTTTTTTTTTTATATTACATCTAGACTTTATCTTGATTTTAAGATGCATGTTAATAAGGGAAATAACATAATAATGGAATAGTAGTGGGATGCTAATTACGAGTTTATTAAATTATTTAAAAATCATTTGAAGCGAGTGAGTGGTTATTATTATTATTAATATAATTTTTTTTTGTTTTAAATTTTAAATTCAGAAATTTAAATGAGAAGGAAAGTTTTGTCGGACACCTTGAATTTGCAGTTGGGATAAAAATCAAACGTTAGCTATAAATCTAATGTTACCTCATGTTGTTGCACGTTGTCAAAAATTGAGTTATTATAGCAACTTTATGTTAAAACGTTTCCTCAAACCTAACATAAAATCGTCAGACGTTTTTTTTTTTTTTTTCACTTTCTCATTTCCTTTCCTTTTCTCCTGCTCTCCTGCTCAACCGTCACTTCTTTTCCTTTTGCCAGCACTTTCTGCAGTTGTTTATTGTTGTATGCTTAAGCTGCGGCAATTTTAAAACTGTAAAGCGCACACTACTATGAGTTTTGACTTAAATTCCTGTTCATTTATTACTTAAACGGCTTAAGCAACATATAGTAACAATAATAACAATAAAAAGAATAAAAAAGCAACAGCAGCAACAGCAGCAGCAGCAGCAGCAACAATAAACAAACGTTTAAGAGATTAAAATGAACATTAAAACCTCATCAGCGCATTTACTTTTCTGTATTTTATGTATGCGTATACCTACCTATGTATGAACATTAAACACTAAAACTTAAAACAAATTCTGTTCCGTCCTCCCCGAGCCTGAGCTAAAGTATTGCGCGAAAGTACTTGGTTTACTTGCTCATCTGCTTTATAAATAAATTTCTCCTTACATACTTTATTATATAACTGCATCATTATGCCGTTACATATGAATGTTGCCGGAATGAAATGCAAAGACTGTAATTAATACAAAAAATGCAACATGGTATGCTTGAGTTCTACATAAATATAATTGGTAATAAATATTTGCACTTTTCCATATCCATATATATATATATATATATATGCTTGCAAAAGATATATTTGTGTAAATTTTAAATAAAGTAAAAGAAAAAGAAAAATGAAAATTGAAAATAAAACCAAAGACAAAAATAAAAGCAAAAATTAAAAAAAACAAAGCAGAAAAAACCACAAGCAATGCTCACCTTAAGTGGCATTCGCTTATTTGGATCTCATGCTATATGTTATTATATAGTAAATCATGAGTAAAGTAAAAAACAAAAAAAAAAAGAAATACGAGTAACATGATAAAATAGAAAATGCCTAACGAAATCCATTGCAGTTTTAATCGATTGAAAATCATGTATATATATATATATATATATATATTCCCAAGGCATAAGACAATAAAGACGAAACATTTAGAGTGAATTGCGTTCCGATTCGGCATCATCGAAAGCTTTAAGTGAGTTCGTAAAAGCGCATTTAAGTCAAGACTCAACAAAAATCTTCTTCTTCTTTTCTCTTCCATTCTTCCTAAAGGACAATGCACTGAGCAGATGATCAGCCACTTTGACGGGTAAACTCTAATGAATTGATTGATTCTCAATAAACTATTGTGATTATCATGAGCATACAAATACAATGAAAATAAGAAGATTTTCGTATACGTATTTCTCGCAGCCGATGAAGCAATGAAGAACAAAACATTTTAAGTTAACATTTTGCACATTGCTTACTTAATAAAGCAGATACACGTACGTATAGCTTGATTTTTAATTAAATAATTAAAAGAATGAAAAAAGCAAAACGAAAATTAGAAATTGTTTTTTTTCGCCGTTAAGTGAATGAAAAGCTTTTCAATGAAATACTTTGTAATTTTCATAAGTATACTTACAATGCTTTTAAAAAGGTGTGCATTTTAAATTAGTATCGCGTAAAAAGTTTTCAATTTTTAACTCGTAAACTGGCTACGAATACAGCAAGAATATCTCCATATGCCCGGAATCTTTCACAACGAATTTCACATATCCACTATTCATATGACATTAGCATCTCTTAGTTAAAACTTGACTCGAATACTGCCGCCAGATTATATTAGGCAATGCGTTTATAATAATTAAGAAAGAAATTCGATAAGAATTCCGAAGCAACGAATGAACGAACAATAAAGTTGAAAATAATTCAGAATCGTATGCTGATCAGGAATGTATGCATGCATGTCATATACAAAAATGTACACAATACAACTTGTGGATGTCGCAAATGGGATATTAATGTAAATACGTGCCTATCTCCTGATGGCGGCTACAAGAAAACTCAACCCAAGGCAAACGCAAAGAGCAATTGTTATGGCTTTTATTTGTGTATAAAATTTTGTCGAAAATTTTTTATGACACAACATTAGCACCAGTTTATAGCAGCTAAGATTATTACCGGTTGCCAAATAGCTTGCCAAGTAAAAATATGTTTATAGATAACTTTATACGGGAAGCGTACATAATTCAATCTGTTCTTTTTTTATTGGTAATTACTACAGTTGACTTCAATGTACGTCTACCGTAACCAAATAATAAAAATTTGGTTAAGAAACATGTTTTATTTATATGTTTAATGTGGTGAAGTTAACACGCTTTTACGCTCATTAGGAAGCTTTTGATTAAGTTGCTTATATATTATGTGTTGGATTTGGGGTATGCTCTTCTTTGTCTCTTCTTTGCCAAGCTGGAGTAGAAATCTTTAATAGATGCTCGTATCAGCAGTATGCAATATACCCGCTCCGCCCCCGCCCCCGCCCCCCTCCCTTTCTCCTCCCACAGCAAAATCCTTTGACCAATCTGGCCCGCGGGACGATCATTAGATATTAGTTCGCGGGCGCTGGTTGCAATTGGTGCTCTTCGTTTGGTGCGAGCTTAGTGGACTACCCTGTTGACTTCCATTACGTCTCCTCTGCACTCTAAGCTGCGCAATTATATGCAGCAACTTTGCCGCACAATTGTTGATCTTGCTCAGGCTTTCAGGTTTTTTCTTTTTTTTTCAAGCTTATCGAAGGCGTTACAACTTATATAACAGTATCCGTATACATCTTCATCTCAAAACTAATTTAATTAAGTGGACTCAGATAATCGAACTTCAACTTTTAAAACGGACTATGTAAGAAGTGATGATGTTACCCATGGCCATTCATTTATGTAGCATTATCTATAGAGTGTTGTGGAAGTGCATGCTTTATTCTCTTTTACCCCAGTAGGAGTTTTCCCGTCTAAATGTCTCTAGTTTCTATTCAAAAAAGCTGTGATACGAGATTTTCATGAACGTTCGTTACAACTAATTCAACGAAGTTTAGAAGTCTTCGGACAGAGCAAATGAAATACTTATGGCCGATTATCGATATCGTTCCTTCCAATTACTGTGCTATACTGAAATAAGTCAGGCGTTACTTTTGCCTTCAATTTTTCCAATTTTCGAATAGAAATCGGCATTAGTTAATGCATGTTAGGTTCGTAATATATATAAACGGCCCTCGCGACTTTTACTTATTGACAACTTATTAGGAATCGGTTTTGACCAGATTTGGTGTTGCGATTAAAGCGCTCAGAGACATGCCTTGGAGATTCTTAAACAGTATATGGAATGTAGCGTAATTTTTTTTTTTTTCGTATCTGCTTCTCCGCCTTCCTCCACCTGACCGCGTAATTTTCATTATCGCAAAAACTCACACAGGAATAAATGAGTGAGTGTGAAAACAACATAGAAGTGAAAACAACATAGTGGGCCGTGGTGCATCATCAAGTACCGTAGACTATCTTATTATCACTCATATAATGAGTTTTGAAAATAATTTCTCATATGGGGAGCTATAGAAAAAGCGGACGGGATCCGAACCAGAACACGTTAGTGTGCCGAATCTGTAGGTTGAAGATAATAAAACAATAGATCGATTTAGAAAGTGTTTCTGAATGGATTAGTAAAATAAAATCAATCAATGAATCAATGTCAAGTTCTTACATAATACACTCTTGTGGTACACCTGATGGTAAAAATAACTAAACGTAGTGTTATTATGAGTACTCTGAGAAGGTGCAGCAGATATCTGAGATATGTACAATATATAAATGAAAATTTAGACTTTTTTCATTCGAATTATGCTAGAGTTTTCTTTTTATTCCATGATTTTTTTTTTTTTTTTTTCTATTAAAAGTTTGAAGTTATTCCCTGGCCAAGGTAGAAGTACTTCACGATTGTCTCTTTCACATTTTGACGGAAAAATTTCGCTTTGATCTGCGTACTTGATTCATTAAATAGTTTGTTGCAGTCATCCATTCAACATCGTAGCCCATATTATTAAGGTTATGCAGCCCAACTAACTATAGAATCAGATACCTGATCACCTCGGGTGATCATTTCAGAACGATAGACATTGTACGAGGCTTCGAGCCGAAGAGAGTGACAAGATTCGCAATCAAATCCTTAAAATGGAGAGTAATAAGCTTCGGCAGGCATTGCCAGTATTCATCGACACAAGATAATGCAATCGATCTTTAAAAAACTGGAAAATATAAATTAAATTAAATTAAACAATGCTTTAATATTTTACAACTAATAGGATTTTTTTTTTTTTTTTTTTAAATTTTCCATGTGAATGAGGTAAGGTGAAAAAAATTATTTTGGAAAGTTCTTTCGAGTCCTTTGCCCATCTCTTCTATGTGTAAACGAAATTGATAACACAATTAATGGCATCTGTATGAAATTTTCCGCATATTAAACTAATAATAACTAATGATAACTAATTAGTTGATTTATCACTGATAATTTATTGGCCTATGGTAATGCTTAGGCGTTATTAGTGGCAATAACACAAAACTATGAACTCATACATGTCGAGTATCAAGTCCAATGATAAAATACTGTACAATTAAGCGCAAAAAAAAAAAAAAAAAAAAAAAAAAAAACATGCAAGTTTGTACGGGTGCGATCTCTTCCCTAGGGCCAACATTTACGCCAAAATCGCTCTAGTTTGCATTAATATATCGTATAATAGATTTTGTAATAAAAATAAAAAAAAAAAAACACAAAGTTTTTGTTTTTTGCTTTTTGTAACATCGTTACAAAAAGCAATGTTATGTCATTACATTTATCATTTCATTTTTTGTGAATTTCTATAAATGAAAACAAATTGGTTTACTATAAATTTTCAATTAAACCTTTGCATTGATTTACACTTTATTTCTAATAATTTTAATAAAATTCTATAACAATATTTTCAGTAATGTTTTTCAAAACTCTTAGTAGCTTTCCAAGCTCCAATCTAATCTACAGTGCAGCTATCGTAACTTTATTCATAAAGCCCCGTTTCTCAGGCAACCTCTGCTTTGTTCTAGAATTCTATGTTTGCGAAAAAAACATATAAATATTTTTTGGGGAAAAAGCAAATTTTGAAAAATGTAAATTAAATCATAGGTTAATATGAAGTCTGTGACGCCTACACGCAAGACCAAGCAAGCATACACTATAACTATTATACGCTATTCTTAATTAGCTCAAGCAATTGATGATGCAATCGGTATGATTGCTTGCTTTTCTTATTACAATTAAACACCCTACTGGGGTATATGGGGATTTGTTTTTTTTTTTTTTTTTTTTTTTTTTTGAGCTAAAGAATATCTGGGATTTTTTCCTAGTTTCGTATAAACAATTGAATGCTTACAATAATTCGCTCGTATTTGTTGCAAGTAAATTAAAGTAAGCTCCGCTATCACTGAAAGCCCCTAATAAGTGAAGAAAAAAGGTTAAAGTAAAAGTGCTGCTGCTTCATATCACAATATAATTTTCATTTGGGCATTTTTGTTTGTTTGCACAAAACTAGGCAATTACCTCAAATTGAAATGATTCGGCAGTTTTTAAATCTCGCCTGAGTAGCCGAAGGCGAGGAATCTCGACTAGCAAGACAATGGTCGTGGGTTGGAATCTCAAATGCGGCAGAGTTTTTAATATAAAAAAAGTCGATAGCCTTAGATGCTAATGCTTTTAAGAGTTTAGTCTTAGAATTTATTTCTCTGGCAAAATTAATAATAATAATAATAAATTAAAATACCTTGTCTAAATAATATGATCTTTAAAAATCCTCAAGTTCTCAACTAGACAGCACTAACTCAGCATTTAATAGACGATCGTTTTTCATTAGTCCTATGTCTATGCTATCGACGTCAACTCGTTCGCACTTGCTTTGATGGACAGTGTATTTAATGACTTTATTCTTTCTTTTTAGAGATGTCACTGAAGGTCTGACCGCATCAGTCGTAAGAGAAAACATCGTGCTTTCTTATCACAATTTTTGGTGACTTTTATGACATTCGAATTTCGATTTTGTTACAAGGTTGCCAATCCACGAAAATCGTAAATAAAAAAATAGGCTCGTGACTTGTAATATCGCTGTGGTGTCGCTCAGAATAAATCTGTAAATCATTTTTTCCAAACAAACGCATTTACCTTTCTCTGTCAATTGCAGTTAAGAGATAAACGCGGAACGTAACAAACAGCATAAAATAAACTCTTTTTAAATTTTAAGAAAAAAGTGCTGCATTCACATAACGTAATGATATGGATATCTGCAGTTTACGATTTTCCCATAAATTTATATAACCTGTCGGTGGTGGTATACTCAATATATTTATCAAAAATTTTGCAATAACTAAAGAGAAGCTTTAAAGCATTAAGTTCTGAATCGATTTAGGCATATTCGCCTGTTCGTCAGTAC